ACATATGATGTGTATGCACTTAGAGAGTGGGCAGTATGAAATCCAAACCATTGTAAGAACAGTATGAAGCACTATGATATATCTCAGAAAGTGTATGTCACTATGATATATCTCAGAAAGTGTATGTCACTATGATATATCTCAGAAAATGTATGTCACTATATCTCGGAAAGTGTATGTCACTATATCTCGGAAAGTGTATGTCACTATATCTCAGCAAGTGTATGTCACTGTGATATATCTTTGGCATCTCGTATTAAGTTTTAATATTTAGTGATAGTTATCAAAGTTAAGCCAATGTGTAGTTTTCAAAATTCATCACCATAAGAAAAAAATGGTCCTTTTCAGGTCATGAAACAAGTTAAAATCAAGTAAGGTACTTTTCAAATCATGAAACACCGGTTAAAAACAAAAATGGTATGTATCAAATCCTGAAACAAAGGTTAAAAAGAAAAAATGGTACTTATCGAATACCGAAACAAAGGTTAATAACAAAGATGGTACTTATCAAATCATGAAACAAAGGGTAAAAAAAACAAATGGTACTTATCAAATCATGAAACAAAGGGTAAAAACAACAAATGGTACTTATCAAATCATGAAACAAAGGGTAAAAACAACAAATGGTACTTATCAAATCATGAAACAATGGTCAAAAACAAAGATGGTACTTATCAAATCATGAAACAATGGGTAAAAACAAAAAATGTTACTTATCAAATCATGAAACAATGGTTAAAAACAAAAAATATTACTTATCAAATCATGTAACAATGGTTAAAAACAAAAAATGTTACTTATCAAATCATAAAACAATGGTTAAAAACACAGATGGTACTTATCAAATCATGAAATATCGGTTAAAAACAAAAGTTTTTTTCATAGTATCTGATAGAGCTGAATGCATAAATCATATTTCAAAGGTAATGTTTGTAACTATCGAGCTCAATAATACAATGAACATTTTAGCAAAAATAATGTAAAATGTGGTATGATTGTTGAATGAAACTGGTAACTACGAATCCTGAAACTTGTCATGATGAGGTTTGCTCAAAAACACTTAGAAATAAAAAAAACGATTAATTAAATTCATTAAACTTATTTCATTTAACTATTACAAAATTATAAATTTCCTTAAACAGGAATCAACATTTCTTTACAATTTGTTTAAATTGTAATTTATAGGTGTAAAAAAAAAAGATCTCTATAACTTCTTATTTGATTTAAAAAACAAATGTTTACAAAGGTTTTCAATTTGCTAACATACCAACATATGATACATAAAACTTGAGAGTTGTATATTATTTGTTCAAACAGTCTTTTCTAATATTCATTAAATATTTCAAATAACTGATGGTGTTCAACTTACAATATAATAGATACATACCTAAACATAGTCATTCTGTAATTTATTATACTGGTTTAAAATGAAAAATAAATAAGTAAAAGTCATTGTAACTTTTTGAAATGTGTTTGTTTGTTTCAGATCAAAACCACACTGGGCAATCACCACAGGAAATCGAACCCCAAATTTTAATGTTTTAAACCCATGAACTTGAAATAACTTAAAAATTATAACTGATATTACTACATTATGTTTATACAAATTAAAAAAATGTTCTCTTCCTACACTACTTAATTTTTATTGTAATGTTTATGATGTTTGAAATAAACTGTCTGATATGACAACATGGTACATTTCATTTTAGAACAAAAAAAAAGAAAAAGACAACCACATGCAACATTAATAGTGTACATTTTTGAATAGTTACTTCATTTTCACCATCGACTTTTGTACCTAGATTACCACAGATCTGATGACATTTTGAAATTTTCTATGCAAAAACTGATTCCTCAATTATGTGGTTGTGTTTTAATTTCCTGTTCCTAGTTGCTATGACATTCAGATTTTTTATTTTTCAACTTTCATAAACTTTTACCAAAACAAAATTTATCTTGATCAAAAAGAACTACGCATGCTTTGTATGTACATTTGTATCTCCATTACAACAACAACAGAAATCCTTATTACGAGTATGACTCAACACTTGAAAATCCAGAAACCAAAACCCTACACTGTCTTGAAAAGATGCTCACTGCACCTGTTTTGACATTCAGGTGTGAAGCTTGAAGCTCATTCTTGTTATAGTAAACTGAAGAGAGAGGAGGCATCACTTCACTGTTCTCAATGTTATTCCAAATCAGATAAATTATGAGCAGTTGTAAGATCCACACGCGAAATTTATAAAAAAACCTTTTAAAATTAACACCACACTGATTAGATAACTTTCATTTTATTCCTAAAACTTCAAATCTCTAGAAAGGAACTTAATATCTTACTTCTGCCACAGGGTTATTCAAGTATGAAACATAAAACAACCATTATGATATAATGGGAATTCCCTTTACATTTTAACATTGTTTTTTAACAACTCTGAAAACAAGTCTATAATATTACCTTAAAAATGTATTATAAATATACATTTGGTGCAAGCTTTGCTTTTTGGAGAACCAGTTTTTATTTCTGAAAGGTATTTACCACAAACCTTAACAGCAAGAGAGTTAAGATACTAATAAAACATAATAATTAAAAGGGCAATAACTTTGCAAATTAAGGCCAATTTATTTATTTTTTTTTAAGTTCAAGGCTGGATATTAACAGAAATAAAAAATCTTGACTGATTGTCAAACAAACACAGTGAAGTCTTACTGAGATTTGTAAGAAAGTTGTTGTTTATTTGTTTTAGAACAAAGCCACACTGGGCTATCTGCTTTGTCCACTGTGGGGAGTCGAATCCCGTTTTGAGATAGGGTAGAGAAAATAACAGACAAACTATAGTTTTATACTGGGAAAAAAAGTTTGAAATTAGAGATTTTAGAGATGAGGAAAAGTATTTTTAATTTCAAGATAAAAAATTACTTTGCACACGGACTATTCAATACAAATACTCAATATATTCATGGACAAATCTTTATTTTATTAAAAATAATTCACTAAAAATATGATTTTTTGTATGTGAGAGACTTATAATATTTACTAAAAGACTGCTAAATTTTGTGAAAATAAACACACTATATTGAAAGTTAGAAGCATTAGATCTATGAAGAGTACAAAGAGGTCACGTAGTTGGTCAAATTGACCGAGCCCATGTTGAGAGAGAGTTAATCCAACTTGGTCATTGTAATAAGACAGTTTCCTTAATTCATTTCTCACTACAGGACAAAAACTTCCTAATCCAGCTCGGTCATTGTACAGCCTCATATATCAACCGACTCTGCTGTGTAAAGAGGTGGTTAACATTACCAAAACATTTTATGTGCATTATAGAACATTGTATATTATTTACATGTACAGTTAAATGCCGAGTCAATACATCACAGAAAACCTCTAAGTGAGAAGCAAGTTGATGAGAAGACTTACCGAGATAGATTCATTACAAAAAAAATAGGATAGGAAGATAAAACACTATTTCTTTGATGATGAATAATCTTTTAGGGATAGCGATACTGAGGAAGTTAGCCGTTCTGCTAATTACACAGCATTAACTTGAAAGTTACAGTTAGCAAGTAGCATACAGACCTAACAGAGGTACACAAACAATGTTACCTCTAATTTTTTCAATCCACGTGCAGAATGGATTTTTTCATGTACCATCTCCTGTAACTTACTACCATTATCAATTGAAAATTTGAAGTTAAATATTATTTTTCATGCATGATATCTTGGTTTGCATTGTGAACTTTATAACTTTCCTGCTAAAACTTACCAAATAACCGAAAAATAACAAACTGCATTCCTAGAGCAAAGGCCCTTTCTTCGTCTTTCACAGACCTAAAAAAAAACAGATACAATACACGTAAGTACAAGTAACTTTTCTATATATATTTACATATACACCTATATTTTACGACTCAAAGCATGCTCTAGATTAGTATTTAACTCTCCAGGGATTAGTTTGCTGCCTCCATAAACTGTTGCTGACCACTAAAATACAAGTACAACAACAAAAAACATAATAATTTACGTATCAATATTCTTTTTTTTCTGTTTGTTTTTGTGAAATCTGATAGACCACAAGGTGGTTGTGAACAGCTGAGAAGTGGTTGAGAAACACTACTCTAGATAATATAACATTCAAACTGTGCTTTAAAAAGATTCCTAAGTAGTTGAAAGATCATTATGAGTGAACAAGACCATGAGTTTTATTTCATAGTGCGTGTCCAAGGGAGGGAACCTAGTTACTCAATACGAATGTACAAATCCCCTATATAATGAATTCAAGCATCCAAAAGTTGAATAATATGTTAGTGAACCACTTCCACAGGATGTTTTAATTTATAAATCCAACTCCTATACATCTTATCTGTCATGTTTCATAAATTAACATGAAAAGTTGCATTTTTTGAAGAAGATTGGATAAAACTTGGAAAAACTACAAGTACTCGTGGTAAGGTTCTGACGATCAGATACCAATTGTTGTCATGATTCGCAGGTTACACGATAACCTAAAACCAATGATTAATTAATCACTTAGGTGGTCGTATAGATTAATGACCATGAAAGCATTTAAAAAGACTACCGGTTCTATTTATGCTGGACAGCAGTATTTGACATCAAACAAACACCTCATTTAAAAAGACTTTCAGGCTCACAAAAGGTAGAAGTAAAATTAATAATTAACTTTGAACATTATTATTTAAAAATTAAACTCACCCGTATAAAAACATATTGGAAACTGAGAAACAGGCACAGTTTCTAGTCTAGGATAATATCTTTGGAAGTTTTTTGTTTTTGTTTTTATTTATTTCATGATAGTACTCTGAAACCAGGAAATTATACAATAAAACTAAGTTTTTTAATTATATGCTGAAAGAATGGATTTGAAACTGTGAATACATTATATAACCTGAAGTCCTCTCAAAGAAATGAACAAAAAATATATATATCTTGCTTTAATGAACCCAATAATGATATTCTATATTTCACATTATGATAAAACAACAACTAGGTCCAGATATAGCATAAACTAAGTCATTAAGATGTTATAATTGAAGAACAAATAGAACTGGACAAAATATCAGAGTAACCGGCAAGGCTACGAAAAACAATATATCAGAAAATCAACTGAATACATTACCTTAAAGTGACCATCAGAAGGGGCATCTGAGTGATGGACACAACAAGAGTCATAACAAAGAGCAGTATCATAAATGGAATCATTATCTCGCAAACCCGTGGACAAGGTCCAGCTGTAGCCAAAGGAATAGCCATAACTTCCTGGGAAATGGTCTTGTTAGTGATTATACAAGCACAGCTCGTATAATTCTGATATGAAAAAAAAAATCATGTTTTAAACTTTGCTCATTATAACAAAATAACAAGAAAGTGGGCTGAAAGGCAACAAAAAAACTGGTTCTTCCTTTACCACACACTGTTATAACTCAGCTTTGTATCTTCAGAACCAATCTTAAAGAATTAAAACCAAGCAGAGGGCCATCCTCGCTCAACATTATTTTCAATATTTCTAAGACATGACTTTTAATGTATTGGATGCAGATTAGGTTGTCAAACTTCTGAGTGGTTTTCACCAACTGTCCTTACTCACAGCAGTTATGTTTATTAAAATATCACTAGAATGCTTATTCAATTTCTAGAGAATGTCATTCTGCAATCTGTTTTACAATGAAAAAAAGAAAAAGACAAACATTAACATTTTATCGCTTTGAAAGCATCGCCATTAATATTTTTTTACTTACTTTCATTTACGGAAGGCAAAACTGTGTAGACACATAAAAGAAAGTTAATTCTGAAGAAAAATATTTGTTTCAGATTCATGAATTTTTCATTAAACACACAATGCTTAAACCAGTTATGAGATAAAAATAACCTGTCTGAACATGCTAAGTATCTTCCCAGAGTATTCCATGTTCAACTGGACCTCAAAGAGAATGTTGGCCACTCTATTTATTTGATACCTTCATCTTCAAAAAAGTTACTTGTCTGGTGATCATGGTGGGTGGGGCCATTATAATATATAAGAAAAAGTTCTGATTGTAAGTCTTACATAAAAGTCAATGTGGTCATCAAAACCGTTTGTTGCCCAGACAAACAGTATGCCACCACTTCCATATGCTCGTCTTTTCTACGTAAAATTCAGTTTGGATTTCATACTGCTCACTCTCTAAGTGCATACACATCATATGTAAACATTATTTTATCTGTGAACAAGATATTTGTCATTTGGTTAATCCACATGCTCTTTAAGAAAGTGTATGTCACTATGATATATCTCAGAAAGTGTATGTCTATATGTTACTTTACCAAACAGACCTTAGCAACCCCCCACTTACTCCTTTAAACTACCACACTGTGTACATTATGAGTACTACTTTAAATGTGGAGATAATAACTATCACAAGTAAAAGTACATGGTTACTGCAAAGTGAGATCCATACATTTTATAAAATGTATGTCACTATGATACATCTCAGAAAGTGTATGTCACTGTGATATATCTCAGAAAGTGTATGTCACTATGATATATCTCAGAAAGTGTATGTCACTATGATATATCTTAGAAAGTGTATGTCACTATGATATATCTCTCCAACAGAATAAACCTTGAAAACAGAGGGGAAGTTGATGTAAAGGAGTAAGTGGGGGTTGCTAAGGTTTGTTTGGTAAAGTAACTTGTAGAGGTATTATTCTGTTGGTGAAAACAGAGGGGAAGTTGATGTAAAGGAGCTTAATACAAGTTACTTTACCAAACAAACCTTAGCAACCCCCATCCAACAGAATAAACCTTGAAAACAAAGGGGAAGTTGATGTAAAGGAGTAAGTGGGGGTTGCTAAGGTTTGTTTGGTAAAGTAACTTGTAGAGGTTTATTCTGTTGGAGAAAACAAAGGGGAAGTTGATGTAAAGGAGTAAGTGGGGGTTGCTAAGGTTTGTTTGGTAAA